GCAAACATACAACAAAATTCTTCCATAGTTAATTAACAAATTAAGTATTTTTGCAGTCAATATAGAAAAGTATCTATTAATATATGCAAACATACCAAAATTCTTTCATAGTTGCCGTCAATATAGAAAAGTATTTTTGTTATTTATAATTTTTTCTGTTATATAATAAGTTAAAAAAAGTTTCAATAAGCTAAAAATAAGATAAAAGATAAAACTCTTAAAAAAATACTTTGTCATTTGAAATCAAAAATAGTGGAGGAAGTTGTTTTCAAAATATTAAAAAAAAATTATTAATTTTTTTGTAAAAATGAAATAGAGATCGTGGAGATTTTTTCAAAAATACTAAAAATAAATTAATTCTATTTAAAAAAAAGTGACATAGTTCATAACCACAATTGTCAAATGATTTCTGTTTTAGTAAAATAAGATGTTGTTGAAAAAAAAAAAAAAACTAGAATGGAAGAATATTATTTATTACTTTATTATTTTGGGCCCACATATTACTGAAAAGCCCATACTTTGCCAGCTTTTGGCCCAAGCCTTGTAAATGACCGAGGATCAGTCTTTGTTGTTCAGATCGCATGAGATTCCGGTCAAGGAAATTCTAGCTTCTCTAGAATCGCCGGTGCGCTCAGGTACAACCTCTCTGATCTCCGATCACCAATCACCTTCTTGAATCATTCTTCCAATTTCTTCTCTAATTACTGACCAAATTTGCGAGATCGCTGCATTTTAGTCGCCGATGTTCTTCGTATTGTCGTGTTTAGAAGTTAGACTGCGTTTCCGTTGTTCCGTTTTTGGCTGAGGATTTCAAATGTTGTGATGCATTCTTATAAGTAAACGCATCAGATTGGAATTTGAAATTGATCTAGGTTTTGGGGATTTTTGTCGGTGGAACGACTTGGTTCAGTATCTGAAGCTTTAGGTTCCCTGAGTCTAACTATTGATTTTTGGAACTTTTCTTATGTCATAATCACTTGGAAGATACGAAAATTTGGGGAAGATGCAACGCAGTCCAGCTACCATAGAGGACCAGTTAATAGCTAAAGCTGTAAGGGAAGAATGCCCATGGGAAAGTCTCCCAAAACGGCTTCAATCTAATCTTGGGTCTAAAGAAGAATGGCATAGAAGGTCAGTTCTTCTCTATGCTTACTGCCGTCAGTTTGTGTTACTTTCTTCAGCAATGAACAATTCTTTTTTCGTGCTTTAATGAAGACTGCATTCCCTATATTGGAATTGAGTTGCTCTGTTACGTACTTGTGTTGTTTTTCATTGTTTTGATTCTTTATGCAGGGTCACTGAGCATTGTATCAAGAAAAGACTCTTGTGGAATACGTGTTTCGCTTGTAAAGTTTGCAAAGAAGGTGAATATTATGAAGATATGATGCGTTACTTGCGAAAGAATCTGGCGGTGCGTGGTGTTGGATAACTCTCTTAGAGTTCTTTTCATTTTGATTGCATTTCTAGGGGAGAACTGATAGCAAATAATTTATCTATTATGTTTCTTATCTCCTTTTACTTTGCATATGGCTTTCCTCCATTAAGCAACCATGATGCACCGTACATAAGTTTGTGTACATGTCAGAGGTATTAGACTAGGGTTTGGAATCTGTATTAGTGTCGCAAAAACAAAGTTCATCATCAGATTCTAGATAGCATTGTCTGTGATAAAAAATGGTATGAGTAGGTTTCTATTTTGAAAGATAGCTATGGGGTCACACACTCAATAAAAGGAGAGGAACATTATGAATTAGAAGAAATATTGGACAGTTTAAAAAAAAAAGAGTTAATGTCAGAGCATCTGAACCTAATTACTGTTAACGACTACCTGCAGCTGTTTCCGTATCACCTTGCAGAGTATGTTTGCCGAGTCATGAGGATAACACCCTTCAGATACTACTGTGATATGATTTTTGAAGTCATGAGAAATGGTAAATTATTGCTTGACACTAGAGCTCGCTGTTTATTAACTTAAATTTTAGCCAGTATTTTTTTATATTCTCATTCCTTTTCATTTCATACAGAGCAACCGTATGACAGTATTCCAAACTTCAGTGCGGCAGATGCTTTCCGGCTTACAGGAATAGGGAGAAATGAGTTCATTGATATCATGAACAAATGCAGATCTAAGGTACGTTTGCGTCTAGATTCTATATGAATTTATGTGCCTAGGATGTTGTGAAAGTTACACTTAGGTTTTCTTTGCTTTGACCTCCGATTCAAAGATTCTGTTCACCGGTATATGAGAATTCAAAGTTCACAAAATACATAGTTCAAAGCGATACATTATGGTGACTGTAAAATTTCTTAAATTGAACTATAAAGACAGAAACTGAAAACTAGAGATAAACAAACTCGAGCGTAGGAATGGAGATTACCCTGTTTCTATTATTCCTTATCGTTTTTGTACATGTGTTGATCTTTCCAGAAAATAATGTGGAAGTTGAACAAATCAATTGCAAAAGAATTCTTACCTACTCAACCTGTGGATTTCCCTATTGACCCTTGGTGGGGTGTGTGCCTTGTCAACTTCACCATAGAAGAGTTTAAGGTGATCTAAGCTCTTCTTAATCCCTCCCATTTCTTCCTTTTCAATCCAATATTACTCGGAGTGAACTAGTGAGATATCATTGTCATTCTGACTGTTCCTTGTCTGATACCAGATCTTGTTTCCTTGTTCTTTGCATAG